GAGTTTGTACGTTCAACACTTCCCAACTTCAGCTTAACATTGTCTATGGCATCCTTAAGAATAAACTTTATGTTATAAACATTGACTTGCTCAAAGCTTTTGATTCTGTGGCGTAAAGCTTTATTTTTTAAAATTTTGTCTTCAGGAGTCGGCAATAAGATGATTAATATGATTACATGTAAGTATTCTAAGACAATGTCAGCACTGAAAATAAACAATTGGTTTACTGACTACTTTGATATAAAAAGAGGAGTTAAGCAAGGGGATTCTTTAAGCCCTACCCTTTTTAACATATATATAAATGATGTTCCAAATTTATTCTCAGGAAATGATTGTCAACCACTAACCTTAGAAAGTTCTGTTATTGGAAGTTTAATGTTTGCAGATGATTTATTAATAATGTCATAATCAAAAGAAGGTCTTCAGGAAAGCTTAGATAAATTGTCTTCCTAATGTGATAAATGGCAACTCACTGTTAATTGTAAAAAGACTAAAGCTATGGTTCTTGTTCATCGTCATAAAAAGACGCAAAATACAATATTTAATTACAAGCACACTGTTCTACAATCAGTAAATGAATTTAAGTTCTTAGGCAACTTGCTCTCACAAAATGGAAATTTATTGTCATCTGCTGAAGCACTTTCGAAAAAAGCTCTTAAAGTTAATATGTACTCTATCAAAAACTATACAAGTGGTCTAAACCAATTGCCAGCAAATTTATCTGTTCATTTATTTGATTCTTTAGTCCGTCCTATTCTTACATATCATTATGAAATTTGGTATATGGATGTGTACAGATATTACTATAATGCAATTACTAGAAAAAGAAAAAAAAAATTCTCCTTTGGATAAACTCAATTTTATAGATAAGAGTCCCCCCCGAAAAATTCACAATAAGTTTTGTAAATTTACACTTGGAATAAAGAAATGTGCCAGTAACATAGCCTCTATATCCGAATAAGGAAGATTCCCCCTTTATTGTTTCATTGCCACACAGTCACTTTTGTTTGAAGACCGACCTTTGAGTGAAAACGCATCTAATTTACTTACAAAGTGTTATTCTCTTTCAAAGTCACTTCATGAACAAGGTATATACTCATGGTACTCATATGTAAATCATACAAGGTCCGATAATACTATTAGCAAATCCAAACATGAATCTAAAACAAATACAGAGCCTGTAAGAAACAGTAAAAAATACTATAAAAATGAATTTCCGCAAAGATATAAAGAAATATATGACAATAAGATATCATCTCTTGATAAAAATAGTAAACTTTTTTTTATACAAACTGAATATAAACAAGAATTTTTATTTGACATACCCTAATCTTGATACAAGAAAGCTTATATGCAAATTTAGAATTAGTGATCATTCCCTTGTTATTGAAACTGGAAGAATTTAATTAATTTTTGAAGAAGAATATTTTTTTTTCAGAAAAGTATGATATTGTGCATCAAAACTAATCATGACAATTCAGTTACAATTTGGGGTTCTTTTCACAAAAAATCTTACGACTAAAATTGATCGTAAGTTACACTGCAATGTTCATGACTTACGAGCGTTTTTATTCGTAAGATGTTTTTGTGAAATAAGTCGCTGAAGGAATATACACCTAGTATATATATACTATCCAGACGACAATGTTGATTGAATTCTGGTAATCGATCGAGTTGCGATCTAAAAAATCTAGTGTTAACAAATTACCTCTCTTGCCAGCATTAAATTATTATGTAATCTGATCAATTCTCACTGAGTAGCACTGAAGATAAATTGAACCGTTGTTTTGATAGATAGAAATATCTGAATATTACAGGCTCAAGACTTGGAACAGGCAAATAGTACTACTATTTATGTACCCTATCTTACGACTAAAATTGATCGTAAGTTACACTGCAATGTTCATGACTTACGAGCGTTTTTATTCGTAAGATGTTTTTGTGAAATAAGTCGCTGAAGGAATATACACCTAGTATATATATAATATCCAGACGACAATGTTGATTGAATTCTGGTAATCGATCGAGTTGCGATCTAAAAAATCTAGTGTTAACAAATTACCTCTCTTGCCAGCATTAAATTATTATCTTATTGTGTGGTCCTGTCCTATGTCCTATCCACACACACGGTGTTTGCTCCTATTGGAGTTCCTTGGAATGTTTTCAGTTTATGTGTTTTTACTTTGATTTTCGATCAAATTAAACATGTTTGTGAACGCTCAATCCAATAAAGGGCACTTCATTACAAATCTTAATACATAATTCAATTAAATATAACCTAAGTTAACAGTAAATATTATTGTGCCATGACATCATGCCACAATAATATTAAAACAAAAATAACCACACAGATTCACAGTTCTTCAAACAACTGATCAATTCGAATAAGTTTATCCATAACCACTCATTCAATCAAACTTACTAACCAATTATTTTGTAATGTATTTCACAAAAAGAAGGATAAGTATTGTATTGACATTTAATGGAATTGAACAAAAATAAATAGATGTAGTTACATACACTGTCAAATATTCTTCTTCGATTTGATTTTTTCAATAATTTATCCCTTTTTTGTAATTAGTTTTTTGCATCTCGGATAGCAAATGCCTTTTTCAGGACTCCCTCCACCTGCGAATGCATGGCCTATCGATCCAATTTATGTCCTGTTCCTCGTTTAGTACTGTATTTTTGGCACACAGAACAGTTATATCCTTCCTCTGTGACGATTAGCCATTAAAAGTCCTGTTCGTATTTATCTTCGCTTGCGTGCCGTTTTCCGTTGTGTTAATGCTTTTTTTTTTTTAATTTCTACAATTTCAATACAACTATCCGTTTAAGTTGACTTATTTGGCCTAGAATTTTCCTTATCACCATCGTCAACTGCCTTTCTGCTCCCCCGATTAATAAAAGAAAACATTGAAATTTGACGATCGGCCATTTTTGTCAATGAAAACAAATCAGCGAGGCGCGATTAGTACTTAAATTTTTACTGCGCGGAACCGAAAAAAATCCGGAATTTGAAAAAAAGCCGACCACCTCCTAAAATGGAAAGCCGGTCGGCCTACAAAAGAAGGTGGTCGGCACACCCGGTTTAAATGCCGAATGGAAAACACTGTAACCTAAAAGTATGAAATGGGGTTAGTTCGCCAAACATAATATGTTTTGCAACCATTTACCCTAGGGTTCATTTGCCTTTCTTTGTTATAATATAAAAATACACTTTTATTAATAAATGGTAACTTTAAATCAATATTTATCTGAAGGATGGGTCGTTGCATATTGGGGCGGGACAAGTACTATTTTTATGGTATATATCCGACAGGGCAAAATAATTTTTCACTAAGAATAGTAGCGGCTAAACACTTTTTTGTGGGGGAAAACATTCTGTGAATGTGAGATTCGATTTCATTTTCATTTATAACATCGATATGAAACATGAATATTTCCACAACTTTTGTGATAGTGTTTCTTTTCAAATATTAAAAGTTTATATTCCATATGTTTCTAACTTCGAATTAACAAATCTTATTTGAATAATTTGTTTTGAGCATGAATGCCACAGTCTATTAAAATCTTTTAAAATTTGAAAAAAATGACATTTTCTATGATTGAAGAGCAACATTTTTACTGAAATCAACTATTTTAATAGCTTTTTATAGCTATATCTTTAAAGAACGATATTTAAATGAAGTAAAATTTTGCACATTTCAACACTATATACTTGAGAGACTGCCAAATTTCATAAAAATATCAGGTGCTTTGAAAAACTTATAAACATTCTCAAAGTTAACTCTCTAAATTTATTCCCAATTGAAAAGTTCCATTTTTACCTATTGATTAGCATAGAAATTGACAACAATACACATTGCATTACAGAAGTTTTTTGCAACTTTTTTAAACACAAATATATTGATATCAATTTGTCTTCATGAAACAGATTGATTGTACGCCTTTCATTTCTAAAGAATGATAAAATTTTTAGATTACGTTGGAGAAATATGTGATGACATAAAATTGCTACAATGTATCAGATATTAATGATTTATCAATTTTGTATATATGTATCTTTTTCAAACTTAATTAATAATTTATTCATTTTCAATCGAATTTCTGTTTTTGATTTAAAGCAATTGTTTAGCAATGCATGCCTAAAAGTTTTAATGTACTTGCAATATTTTAATTTAGATTTGTTTTGATAAACACGTATTTTTTTTAAATTTTTTTGGCAATTACAAAGTAATCAGTGCAAGAAATATAATGAATGTCTATAGTTGACATACATGTATCGAAGAGTTTTGCGTCGATCATTCTAGGATTTGGCATTGGTTTAGTATTGTTTTGCGTGTTAAAGACACCTGACTTTTGTTTAAGACTTAATTTTGACAGTCTGTTGATTATTAATACCAACTGATTTGACACAAAGATTGTTTGAGATCCAATACCACAGGAATGAATCAAGTCTTTATATACTTGTGTTTAGAAAAAGGAATTAATTCAATCCATAATACTACACATGTGTTGCACTTCAGTCCAATTTCTGCAATAAAATCAGTTGCAACTTGTGTTTCTGAATGCTGTCCCTAGGATGTTTACTCCAAATCCCGCAATTGATATCCCAGACAACATGAGTATGTTGGCCCAACATAGGCACAACGTATATCATTGCATTGGCCCATCGTTGCATTTTAACGTTGGCCCAGCGTATAAGTGCAAATTGGGCCTACGTTGGACCAACATGATGGCAATTCTGTATTTGTGTATTACCCATTGTTGTTACTGTCCTTGTTTGTTTCATGAATTTTGCCTCTTTAATTTCATTAATTGTGTGACACTAAGATATTTCTTTGACAATGTTTAATGGATCGACCAGATAAACTCTGTGTCATTTGGTTTCTTGTAAAGAGTTGTCTCATTAGCAATCATACTACATCTTCTTTTTTCATATTAATTTCATGTATTTTTTTAACAGCACAAATGACGTATGGCTTATGGTAAGTCGCTCATACAAATATTTTTTTATGAGATGAAATTTTAGTTGTATTGGTTCCAGATCCAGATTGAAAATTAACTAATTCAGAAGATGAAACTTTATTTATTTTAAATTTGATATCATTGGTCGTCACCACGAGTATTGTCTCCTCAATTTGAATTTCAACAGTGTCAGTATTATTTATGTTATTCTTTATTTCTCTTCTCTGTTTCCTGCTACCTTCTCTGTCGAGGCTAAACCGCAGCCAATATTTAGCTGCATCCTCTATCTCCTTATCTGACGACTCTTTACAGCTACGGTTTTTTCTAACTGACTCTGTAATAAAGTTATAAGTAAACTTGAACTGTGTATTTGCCTAATGCATGCGTGCGTAATCTCCCTACTAGATATGTAATATAAATTAATGTATATTCTAAATATTTTAAACACTACTTAATACAAAATAAAATCTTAAATAACCAATCTTTTTTTTTTTTTAATATTGGTCATGTGTCTAATGGTCAGCAATTCATTAGTATTAGAAGGATTTGTGGGTATAATTTGCCATAAATAACCCATTAAGTATAATACTTACTTATTAAAACATCTTTAAGGATCAAACGGGAAAAAGCAGTCTTGTCCCCTCTCTCTAGCCGATTCAATTTCATGGCAATACAGTTTTCCAGGATTGAGCTCATAATCCTTCTTACACTCTGCTTTACCGTATCTTCCCCAGAAGTACTCAGGTGTTTGATCTGCAACATAATTATATGATGCTAGATTTAAATAAAATAAAAACAATTGCAAATAACAAGTCAGAGATAAATGTACCTACAGTTAATAATATGACATTTTTACATTGTTCTTGGTATCTTTCAAGCACAATCATTATAAAATATATGAGTTGAGGGAAAATACTGATCTCGATATAGGGCCTTGTAAAGCTTGCTATATGCAATGTGGTTTTTTTCATTGTTGAAGGCCATACGGTTATCGATAGTTGCTAGGGTCATTTGGTCTCTTTTAGGTAGTAGTCTCATTATCAATCAAACTAATAGTAAATTTGTTTTTATTTTCATGATTTTTTTTTATTTTCATGAAATTTCATGCATGTTCAGGACGATAAGTGGTTTGAAATACGCAGAAAAATATTCATTCTAAGCATAAGTATTGGTTACTTTATAAATGATAATCAGTGTTAAATTGAACGTGAATAATTTTGTTTTCAGTACTTAGTTAACATTAATTATTCATGAGCAAAAGAAGAGGCTAAAACTGGTTAACTGTTCAGGTGCAAAAATACCCATTGGAAGTTATCTAATATTTCGAAAAAGAAATATTTCCTGAAAAATAATACTGTTATTCCCATGGAAAAAGAACAGATGCCTTAAGACTAGTCCACGCATAGTCAGGATAGATTTGGTTCAAATGTACAAATAAATAAAAGAAGAGGATTTTGTGATTAAATATCTAAGATGATGTATGCATTGATTAAGAAGAGCTGATGTGGCCTTTAAAGCCACGGGAGGTGAAAAAATCATAATATTTCAAAATTTCTACATAAATGTCGGAAATTGAAAAGAGAGTTACTGACCAAGCGGTTCTTTGTAGTGTTGACCTTCAAGGCATTTTCAACTCCTTCTAGCTGCAACATTGTTTTGATTGGAAGCACTGGGAGTTCATTATCGTCATTATCCTCTGCATCCACTGTTTGTTGCACATCAACTTTCTGGAGGAGAAGAGACGTATTGTAATGAACCTGGGTTTTGATTTGCTCTAAGCCCTTCAGGGTTTTGATTTCAAACTCTGAAAATGAAATAAAAAATAAACAAACATGAATTGATATCACTTTGTAATAGAAAAAAAATGAAAATATCAAATATTTATTAAACTAGAAAGCGAGGGGAAAGTAGTCATTTAACCCGGCCAATAGAATGTTTATAACATTATTTCTAGAAAATCCATAGCTACATGTACTTTGGGACAGGACAAATTGTTTTTAGCCCTCTCTCTTTTTGTCCCGAAATCCGTATTTTTTTCTGTCAATTTCAATTGTTTATGCGTTTTTCTATATTATATGAACATGAAAATACTAGAAATAACTTGTATTTGCTATATACTATCCACAGCAGTCACTGATGTGTTATGTTATATAACATATCAGTGACTACTGGGGATAGTAAACTTGGAATTCATCATGTTGATAGTATAAGCAAACACTTATTTCTAGTATATTTATGTTCATGTAATATATATAGATAAACGCGTAAATAATTGACATTGACAGAAAAGAACAGATTGTAGGAAAAAAAGGGGGGAGGGGGGCTTAAAAAAAACATTCGGTCACTTGTACCTATGATATAACTAATTTGGTTATGTGGTTTTCTCTTGAACAGACATACACGCAGATCGATATTTATTCCCAGCTTACTAAATGGTGTATTTACAAAATGAGTGGTTAACCATTATATTTGAGAGGAAAACATAATATGTCCGATTATGATATGAATGATTTTAAGCCAAAATATCTTATTTACCTGAAGTCTTTGATTGTACATTTGCGACGGTTGAAATCAAATCACGAGATGTTGATGGTCTATCTATATGATTATATGGCGGCTTGGAAAGGGTGACATTTCAGGCGTCGGTGGCGTTGGAAGTGATGGTAATTCACAGTCATAGAGTCGTTTTTTTTAGATTGTAACTTGCCGGGTGACTTTCTTGGTGATCTCCTTGGTAACTGTGACTGAGTGACTGATGATCCTGATGAGAATTTCTTTGGACATTTTCTAGGCGATCTTCTGGGTTTATCTAAATTTGTACTTGATTTTCTTGGAGATTCATGTGAATTGGAACTGGTTTCACCATATCACTTTCTTGGTCATCATATTTTGGATTAGGCCTACAAGATAAGAAAATATTCATACCGTAAAGTTTTAATGAGTCTGACTAGAATCATTGATTACATTTTTACTCATATGCAGTGGACTATATTTACCTATTCAGAAAATTACTAGTAGTCATGAGGAACCATGAATAGTAAAGTAATCGATAGTTCCTAAATTGAAAAATATATTCTTTCTCAAAATTTATAAGCAACTGTACAATTGGTTGTATACATGTGTGTACGGTTAATATGAGGTCTAGCTTCGAAGGCTCATATCATTTACATTCAACGTTTTTATCGATTTTGTTTTACTATCAACGTTGAACATCGAATCTATTATAGGACTAGCTTGACATCAATACAATTGAATGAATGGATAGTCAGTTCTGTCTAACACATATATAGATTACTATGGCTACTGTTATTTGTAATTCTCATTAAAAAAATAACGGATTGAGACACATTATGTTTTATAATGGAGCTTATATTAAAACCATTCCTACTACATGTAGAATAAACGAACTAAAGTAAAAATCTTAACTATACATGTATTACCATTTTGTTCTTTTTGGGCATGTTGGGGGGACACATCTTCATTTTTCGGCTCTGTAAAAAGGTCTGACTGAACCTCTGCTATCTTCAACTTCTTTCTGGCTTTGTCATAATCACCTTGAAAACAGAAAAAGATGATGCTTACATTTAAAAGAATAAAAATAGAAAACAAATGTCAATAGTGTTGTCAGTTGAAATGAAATAGGAGACGAATTCCAAAAGGTTTGGCAAATGTCCGTACAATAGAACTATGGATATAGAATTGAACATTACATTTAAAAATATATTCTAGAAAAAGATCATTCAAATAAAAAAATAAACATGACAAATAATAGTAATGCTTCAACTTGAGCATATGTTAAACGTGTAACCAAATCCGGACAATTTCAGATCTTTTCATGTGGGATATATAATTCCTTAATTCAATTTATTTACCTTTACTTATTTTGTAAATTATTTCGAAGTTTAATCGTAAAAAAACAGATACACGGATTTTACATACTATTAATAGTAACTATAATTTATTTCCTAAAATGTTAGGACATATCTCTAAAAAAAAAATTGTTATTCGAACGTATTATAATTCCTGAATATGTTTCAGTCAATAATTTCTTCATGTCCCATTTCACTGTATAGTATAAACGTTTTTCATTTCAATTGGACATTGTTGACCTTGTGTTTAAAAGAGTTTCTCTTTTGCATAAAGTTTATGTTTATCAAATCAGTGATGGATCTAATTATTTTCACAAGGGAGCCCATTTGATTGCCTAAGAGGGGACCCGCTCCAGTCATTCTTCAGTAACTCCCTATATAATTAACCAAATAGTTCCCACAAAAAAGGGGGGTGCGGGCACCCTGGTCCCCCTCTTAATCTGACTCTGCAAATGGGTACCAGTTGAACATTATATATACACTCTGACAATACTTACTGGTCCTATACATCACTTCCACCTCATACAATTCAAATAATTCTCTGTTTGGCTCTATGCATTGCCGTACTGCCATGTTATGTTTTGTAGCTGATTTAAACTGTGGCAAATAGCATTCCTCTGAATCACGGGTAAGCCAGGTAACAGGAACTATTTCTACTTCATTTGTAGATTTAAAATCAACCACAGCATATTTAGCCCTAAAAATAAGTATTTCCTCTAATTACTGTCTGTTCATAATGTTTGTCAGCCATATTTTAAGACTTACAATAAACATATATATATATATATATATATATATATATATATATAGATTGCCCAACGCAATCATAGGTTTGAACGTTGTTTTTCAATTTAGACTTGTTTATATTTTTCCGTTTGGGCTTGTATTATATTTTCCTTCGGGTTTATATGATCCGTTCATCCTATTTTGACTCTTTAAAATTCAAGAGTCTATCCTAAATTGAGGTAAATTATATGGCCTTCCAAATACCGTTTCGATCCCTAACATCACTGAAGAGACATTAAATGTCGAAATCCGGATATGGTGTATTAAATTTTTGCACCTCATGTTTGTGGTAAACCATCTTTTCCACAAGTTTATTGTTTTCTGTTTGGTATTAAATTAATATTAAGATCCATTTTGTACTGGTGATCAATTTATTTGGCAATCGACAATGGCAGTCAGCAGGGTTTAAGAACATCAGTTGTTCGACCTGTTAGTCAAATGCGTTTTGTTAAAATATACTTTTTCACTATTTCGGTCTTTTGGAAAATGTTGTTTGTGCTGTATTTAGACCCCTTTACCTATAAATTTGTTTTACATGCACACGTATAAAAATTGCGGTTTTTATCCAACGCAATCATAGGTTTGAACGTTGTTTTCAATTTAGACTTGTTTATATTTTTCCGTTTGGGCTTGTATTATATTTTCCTTTGGGTTTATATGATCCGTTCATCCTATTTTGTCTCTTTAAAATTCAAGAGTCTATCCTAAATTGAGGTAAATTATATGGCCTTCTAAATACCGTTTCGATCCCTAACATCACTGAAGAGACATTAAATGTCGAAATCCGGATATGGTGTATTAAAATTTTTGCACCTCATGTTTGTGGTAAACCATCTTTTCCACAAGTTTATTGTTTTCTGTTTGGTATTAAATTAATATTAAGATCCATTTTGTACTGGTGATCAATTTATTTGGCAATCGCCAATGGCAGTCAGCAGGGTTTAAGAACATCCGTTGTTCGACCTGTTAGTCAAATGCATTTTGTTAAAATATACTTTTTCACTATTTCTTTTGGAAAATGTTGTTTGTGCTGTATTTAGACCCCTCTACCTAGAAATTTGTTTTGCATGCACACGTATAAAAATTGCGGTTTTTGTCCAACGCAATCATAGGTTTGAACGTTGTTTTCAATTTAGACTTGTATATATATATATATATATATAGATTGCCTAACAATGTAATTTTAACACACTATTTAGTATGTAAATATAAGAATGTTTAAAATATTTACAAAATGATGAAAATAAACGCAATATTTCGCTAGACTAACTAGCTTTATCAAGCGTGCATCTATCCAGGTGAAATCGGATGTAGATGATAAGAAACTTTTGCAGCTCAATGTATATGTTGCTTGAATTTAGCTGCCTTGAAAATAATACATAATTTGGATGAAGTTCAAGATTTTTACAAAATTGGTAGTTGAAGTTAGCAACGTCCATTGGCCAATATTACAGGATAAAAAGGACGATGCTGTGTACTAAATTATTCTTTATCTTTCCTGTATCTTTTCCCATCTTTTTCGTTAAGACCATCAGGTTCTAAAGTGTGGAGTTGGTGGATCCAAAAATTTTCTCTTCTCCTTCTCGCCGTGGTGTCCCACTCGGTGTTGACTTCTATGATTTGGAAGGTAACATTATCAAAAGAATGTTTCGTTGAACGAAGATGTCTTGTGAGAGGACAGTTTTTGTTTGTTTTGTACCATGAACGATGGTTATTGAGCCGAATATTAAATTTGTCCATTGTTTCTCCCACATACTGAATGCCACATGTGTCACATGTTAATATATAAATTGAGTTCTCCGTTTTACAGTTGGAATTTGAGTAGATGGTATAATTTTGTTTAGTAACGGAGCTGATGAAAGAACTGCTTGTATTGGCAGCTTTACAACACAAGCAGTTCCTTCGACCACATTGTTTGTAGCAACCGGGAGATGGAGTAGGCTGCTTTGCTAATACAGATGTCACTAATTTGTCACGGATGTTTTTAGGTCTTCTGAAGGCCATGACTGGTGGTGAGGAAAATACTTTTTTAAGATTTGCATCATTTTCTATAATTTTCCAATGCTTCTGAACAATGGAAGACACATTTTTAAAATCAGGATGGTAAGTGAGTACAAGGGGTGTTCTGTTAGCTGCTTTATTCTTATCTTTGTACTCTAGAAGTTCTTGGCGACTAGTTTTGTTTGCTCTTTCGAAAGCGCTATCAATGATGTTGTTATTGTATCCTCGAACAACTAGATGTTTACGTAGTTGTCCAAGTCTAGCATTTTGCGTATTTTCAGTAGAGCATATTCTCTTGATTCGCAATGCCTGGCTGAATGGGATGCCACGGGAGCAGTGTTTAGGATGGCAACTTTTAGGAGAAAGGAATTGATGTTTGTCCGTTTGTTTGGTATGAAGGTCCGTTATAATGGTTCCGTTCTTGATGTAACTCGTAGTGTCGAGGAAGTTTATTTTCTCCATAGATGATTCATATGTAAATTTTATTGAATGGTGGAAAGAGTTACAGTGTCCTAGAAATTCATTAAGATGTTCTTGTGAATCTGTCCATTTGAAATCAATATCGTCAATGAATCGGAACCATGATAAGGGCTGGTATGGAGCACTAGCCAAGAGGCGTTTTTCAAGTTGGCCCATAAATATGTTGGCATATGACGGGGCCATTTTTGTGCCCATACTAGTACCGTCTATCTGGAGATAATGTTTTTCATTGAAAGAAAAGTTGTTGTTCTCTAGCACTAGTTTCAGAAGTGTAACAAGGCACTCAGTTGGAGGATTTTTTTCACTACGAGTGTTCCATACCTCTTCACACGCTGCTATTCCTTCGTCTTGTGGAATGTTGGTATATAAAGAAGACACGTCCATGGATGCAAGTATAGTATTGCTTGGTAGAGGATTGAGGCTTTCCATTTTCTTTAGATAATCAGGTACTAGTATGGGCACAAAAATGGCCCCGTCATATGCCAACATATTTATGGGCCAACTTGAAAAACGCCTCTTAGCTAGTGCTCCATACCAGCCCTTATCATGGTTCCGATTCATTGACGATATTGATTTCAAATGGACAGATTCACAAGAACATCTTAATGAATTTCTAGGACACTGTAACTCTTTCCACCATTCAATAAAATTTACATATGAATCATCTATGGAGAAAATAAACTTCCTCGACACTACGAGTTACATCAAGAACGGAACCATTATAACGGACCTTCATACCAAACAAACGGACAACCATCAATTCCTTTCTCCTAAAAGTTGCCATCCTAAACACTGCTCCCGTGGCATCCCATTCAGCCAGGCATTGCGAATCAAGAGAATATGCTCTACTGAAAATACGCAAAATGCTAGACTTGGACAACTACGTAAACATCTAGTTGTTCGAGGATACAATAACAACATCATTGATAGCGCTTTCGAAAGAGCAAACAAAACTAGTCGCCAAGAACTTCTAGAGTACAAAGATAAGAATAAAGCAGCTAACAGAACACCCCTTGTACTCACTTACCATCCTGATTTTAAAAATGTGTCTTCCATTGTTCAGAAGCATTGGAAAATTATAGAAAATGATGCAAATCTTAAAAAAGTATTTTCCTCACCACCAGTCATGGCCTTCAGAAGACCTAAAAACATCCGTGACAAATTAGTGACATCTGTATTAGCAAAGCAGCCTACTCCATCTCCCGGTTGCTACAAACAATGTGGTCGAAGGAACTGCTTGTGTTGTAAAGCTGCCAATACAAGCAGTTCTTTCATCAGCTCCGTTACTAAACAAAATTATACCATCTACTCAAATTCCAACTGTAAAACGGAGAACTCAATTTATATATTAACATGTGACACATGTGGCATTCAGTATGTGGGAGAAACAATGGACAAATTTAATATTCGGCTCAATAACCATCGTTCATGGTACAAAACAAACAAAAACTGTCCTCTCACAAGACATCTTCGTTCAACGAAACATTCTTTTGATAATGTTACCTTCCAAATCATAGAAGTCAACACCGAGTGGGACACCACGGCGAGAAGGAGAAGAGAAAATTTTTGGATCCACCAACTCCACACTTTAGAACCTGATGGTCTTAACGAAAAAGATGAGAAAAGATACAGGAAAGATAAAGAATAATTTAGTACACAGCATCGTCCTTTTTATCCTGTAATATTGGCCAATGGACGTTGCTAACTTCAACTACCAATTTTGTAAAAATCTTGAACTTCATCCAAATTATGTATTATTTTCAAGGCAGCTAAATTCAAGTGCAACATATACATTGAGCTGCAAAAGTTTCTTATCATCTACATCCGATTTCACCTGGATAGATGCACGCTTGATAAAGCTAGTTAGTCTAGCGAAATATTGCGTTTATTTTCATCATTTTGTAAATATTTTAAACATTCTTATATTTACATACTAAATAGTGTGTTAAAATTACATTGTTAGGCAATCTATAATTTTATTTGTGTAATTGAATCAATCTCTGAACTGATTAATCCACACTCCCATAGATTTGTATGTCATGTGCTGCTATTTATAGGCACTTATATATATATATATATATATATATATATATATATATATAAATACATAATGATAATCAATTCGGTCGACACGATACAACTTTACCAAACACTATCGCAAAGTGAGAAAGCGACAAAATGGTCTCTGTATGGCAGTAATACACACTTTGCCTCAACGTGCTCTAAGTTTGCATAGCGAAACGTATTCCCCAATCTAGAAAGTCTTTTAATTCCCAGGGACATTGAAGGCAATGGAGTGTCAAAACAATTGCTTTCGGTTCTATATTTATGATAAATAAGATGTATCCCATCTGGAGTTTGCAAAATATTTTGTACAACACATATTTTGCCTTGTATCTGTACACACGAATCCTTTTCATCAAGACGTATTGTGAAGTTCTTAGTTTTGAATTTTTTGTACTGCTTAGCTCCGACAAATAATGGCTAAAGTGGGCCTTCTAAGTGCTCCCTATGTAAACTTGTGACAATCTCATTATCTTTAACTACAGAAGTTGCCTCATGAAGTCTTCTAATAACTTGTTGTAATGCAAATTCTGGTTTTCGGACTTATCGCTTCAATTTTTGGAGAAAATTTTCAAAAGGAAAAGCCGAAATATTTTCTAGACTGTCAAACATTTTAGCATCATCAGCCAGGTGGATTAAACAGCGAACATTATAAACTGCCATTTCGTTCCCATATAAATCATAGAAATGTTTGACAAATGTTTTTAAAAGTTCTTTTGCATACTGGTTGTACCCCATGCAAAGTCTTTCGTTTATCAGAAAGTGGATTGCAACTGAAAACAGCATGAAATTATTGTACATGTTAGTGTGTATGAGATGCTTAAGAACAACCGGGCCCGTGTAAAGAAGAAATTGTCTGTGTTCGGTTGCCTTCCAGAGGTCAATTTCTGATAGGGATCGTGGCTTACGGGCAAACTCGCACGGTATCTTTCCCTTTAAAGCTATTAAAGCGTCAGATGTCGCGTCAACTACTCTGGGTCCAACCCGGCTGCAAAGCGGTCCCTTAATCCACATCAAAAGAATACGTTTAATTACGCCTAAACACACAAGATGCATGTAGTCAAGTGGGAAATTACTGACCATTCCAATTCTTGCTTCTAAGAATGGGGATTCGCCATTGTGATGACCGTCATCAGATTTGTGTCTAAATGAATGATCAGTTCGGAGATTTGCATTCATTTCCGGATCTGTCATTTTACCCATCCAACTTCCTCGTTGTTCGCATTTATCACATCCGTGGTAACCAGAGTAAGATTTTACGTATTTAACAAAAGCACGTGCAGGTGTATCACAAATAACTGAATGCATTTTGATATTCCTATGTTTAGATTCTAATTCAAACCCGTTAGTGTGTAGCAGATTGTATTCATCAATAAATCTACCAAGGTATTCAAGAACATTAGACGGCTTTTTGACACCTGAATAGAGACCGATTACAAATGGTTCGCAGTTAACGTTTCGTACCATGCCTAAAATTGGCCAAAATTGTTGACCTGTCTCTTAAATAGCGGTAACCCATCAATGTTCAACTGCAGTTCAAAGCAAAAGTTTTCCGGTAAATAAGAACAATAGTTTTTGATTCTATTTGTAATTCCATTTAATAACCCGAAATGATAGTATTCCCCACCACATACACGTATAATATTATACTGGGTCGGCGTTTTCATCAGTGTACGCGGATCCTTTGGTAAATTCGGTAAAACAGGAATTAAAATTTTTAATAAATCACGCAAAGCAGTCACGGGTATTTGATAAGTTACAGCCCAGTCATGTAAACTTTGCGTTATGACAGTTTCATCTGCATCATCGTTGTCACTGCCGATGGATTCGTCACGAGACGAAAATTCAGGACGCGCATAGCACTGTAAATATATATATTCAGTCATATTGTCATCGTTAAAACTTTCTGAATTATCAGACCCACTTCGGTTTTCTGTTTGTTGATCATGTTGATGGTCTTCAAAGCGACCATAATCAAAATCTTCAAAATTATTAGTGTTTTCGGCTTCCGCACTTTCAATCGGTTGTAAATTATCCTCCATGTCCCTATCTGACGATGGCTCTTCTGTTTGGTGTCTTTTCAAATCTTGTATGTGTCTTCCTAAATTCCGTTGCACTTCTCTGTATTGGGACCAGTAAGATTTTCCACCACGTGACCTGTTTGATTAAATTTTAAATGCTTTAAATATTCATCCAAATCCCATCTCTAATAAGAAAACGATGAATAACATGTTGAACTTATTAACCAGAATATGATCAAGTTTTGTCATTATGTTTTTTTTTATTTCTTTGTTTAATTAATTTCTGACTATACCATTTGTACGAAAAAATATGTCAACAGTCATGAAAATATATTTTTTGAACTTTATTCGTCATACATAATTACTGAGACTACTGTGACCCATATACAGAATTAGAATAATCAGAAGGTTTGTACTTGAATGACCAATTCGGGTGTCACATGTTTTTTTTTTGTTTTTTAGCCCAGTAATCATGGAAATTTTATAACATATGTATTAAAACACTCTAATATTTATCTATTATAATTTATTTCTCATTTGTTATTTTCAATTCTATTTAGCCATATATTATTCAAATCATCACATATGATTGTGCATTTTCTGTTATTGACCAATATGAATTAAAATGCATGTTTGTTATTTAAACCCGTGGCTGGGTTCAGTTGAGCTAGTTCAGGTTTACAATTTAAAACGTGATACATGCTAAAGTTGTTGGTGGATAGTTGGTCTCATTGGCAATCATTATATCATATCTCCTTATTTTTATGTTTCTAGCAATTTATTAAAAAAAGATTTATATTGGTTACATTTTTTATTTACATGATCATTAAACAAACGCATCATTATTATTATTTCAGAACTCTGGATCATACTTATATCTTCGTAATATATAAAGAATAATTTAGATGTGTATCAATGCACAGTTAGTAGTCACCTCTTTTGTTTGTCTGAATATCGTTTATTGAATGAAACATACGGTATAACAGGCTTCAAAGCGGAACACAGCAAGAGGTCAAGTTTAGAGTCTGATAATTTGCAATTTCCTATATAGTTTCCAGATGTTGGTCAGTTATTGAAATATTTAGAATTAATTCTACTTCAATAATTACACAAATTGTATATCGATATAATATTTGTTTAAACTGTGGATTTGGAAAAGATATGAGATGTGTACTTTTGATACGCATGTAAAAGATTCATAGATAATCTGTACTACACGTTAATTTACAACTTAATTAACAGTAACTCTTTTTTCCCCGCATTCCTGATGATTTTTATTAGTTTTGAACAATTTGTGTCTTTTATTGTTTCAGAAAAAAGGTCTGCATTTAGTAAAGAAAAAGATGTTTTAACTTTAGCAATTTTATATATGATACGTTATTTTATTACAAATAAATAATTCGGAAAGAGAAAAAGCATATACAAATATATATCTATATAGTTTACGTACAATTTGGAAACGTTACAAATTATACATTATCATGATTTCGTAAGATTGGTACTTTAAAAATACGTTGCTATGATCAGTTTACAACTGTTTATTTTCAAAATATATATCACTGTGGGTTATATTTTAACTTTCATAAACGTTTTTCTTCTACTTCCGTCATCTTGAAGTATAACTAACCCCGGTGATAACCACGCTCTCATAAAAAACTTCATACAAAAAAAATGTACAATATTAACTTTACGCATACAACGAAAATAAAACAACTTTGTATAAATCATGTTTGTTTAGAATTAGGTAGAAATTAACAACTCACATGTTTTCTTTTCTTTTTTCCTGAAGACAATTCTCTTTTCTGTATTTTTACTGCTCTGCAAGGAGGGAAATGGTCACAATTCTGACCATCCCATTAAACTTATATTGCCATAGCAACTATCATTTGACCTGCGTGTTACTTGTATTCAACCTTATCAAAATGTTACAGCTGTATATATATTGCTTTCTCGCAACTCTATACTAATTGATTATTAATAATGTTTAAAGTTATTAAAATCGGTGAAGAGTACAAGTATCAGTGGTAACTTTAATGACACTTTAAATACCAACAAAAGCAAATAATAACATGAATAAATAATAATTGTAAACAATATAATTTTATCGAGTCACCACATTGCAAAAATTAACTGTTTTATGGGTAATCAAGATAAGTATACCCAACTGATATCCGAAGTACCACTTATGTAAACCATAATTGGCAGTTTTAGTGCAACGTACAGTGTTACGTGGATCAACCAACGTTAGCTTATAATAGATTTTCAACATTGGCCCAACATTGGCCCAGCATTGGCCCAACAAACTTTAACAAATGTACAAATATAATTTTTCTGATCATTTGTTCTTATCGTTGATATAGACTAAATTTCCCAGGGAATGGAGTAATAACTTAGACTACAGTAGCCCTAATACGATTCGGAAGGGTAAAGCAAAGCCATCAACCTTTTCTTACCTTAAATTGGAGCAACGTTGGGCCAACGTTGGCATAGAAAAGTTGCCAACACCGACGGATGGTCTTGTAAATATCATCATACCAACGTTGGCCCAATATTGTGTAGCTATCACCAACAAATGTATAAGAATTCATCTCAACGGCCCGACTATTTGCAAACGTTTGGCCAATGTTGTGCAGCCAACACCAACGTGCGACCAACGGACCGACAATTTGCCAACGTTGGGCCAATGTTGTGCTGCCAACACCAACGGTCGACCAACGGACCGACAATTTGCCAACGTTGGGCCACTGTTAGTCTGTTGACTGGGATATATACGTTTTAAACGGGACCAACAAACCATCATGATTCGGTTAATCATCACGGAATATGTGCGTCACATATGACCTTGCCATGTTCCTTTTTGCAAATGTATATTCCAGTCGCTTCCTCTTTTATGACGTATTTCTGAATACGTCTAGGTTTTACTAGTATCACTTGTAATGTAGGGAATTCTTGCCATCCTAAATTTTACCCCGGTTTTATTGGAATTTAGGTGGTGAATCTTTAGTTGTTTGTATATTATTTCATGGATTGGTGTTTGTCTTTTTTCTTATTTTTTCCGTTTGGCAATAGTGATGTATATTCCTCTTGAGTCTATAGCATTCAAATGTTCTGTTAATAATTCAAAATGACCACTTTACTAAAACAGTACATAGGGAAGAGGAGCTTAATATCAATAATTAATCATTTTTTTTAAATCCCCAAAACTCTGGTATGGTACTGTAGCAGCATGACTAACGGAAAGTAATGCATTTGCGGTTTTGTTTTTGTGTTTGTTGGTTTATTTTTGGAGAGGGTTAATTTTCAGGAACAGTTGTAGATATTTTCAAGGTGATTGTGGTTAAGCATTGGTAGTAAAGAGGTCAAATATATATATAATAAAAGATTTGTTTTCATTGGTACCTCACATAATTTCCTATAAATTATAGCAATATTATCTTTAGTTTATGAATGGAAGTAAAGCGGTTTGCAAAAAACACCAGTTGAAGGTAGAAAGTATCATAATGCGACTTTGTTCCGTATATCGCCAGGTTATCTGATTTCCAATAGGGTCTAACAATGTGCATCACTTATTTCGGACCTGTTTCTGTATTGTTACGAATCACAATTTATTTCTAAAATCAGCAATACCCATCGAAACAACATCTGATACAAAAAATGATAACAACACGTTATAAATTGTATGCGTACAAAGCGCTTTTCTGGATTTACTTTCAACAGGAACACTCGAAGCCAAATATTTGAAAGCCAAGGATGTATAAGAATTGAAACAGTTGAAGAGCTATATGACCAAGAAGGTGAACTTTGCCTAACGGAGTTGAAACCTTAGTTTCTTTATAACTTCAAAATTTATAAACGGACAATTTTAGAAAGTTTTGTTATAAATCATGTCAGCACTGAGTACTGAGCTTATGATACCCTCGGGAATACAAAAAAAGTAATAGCGCATTTAGATATTTGGATGATATTTGGCTCTCAATAATAACGACTTAAATATATACCCTGAAGAGATTTGTCCTGTTGAACTTACTTAAAATAAAGCGAGTACTAACAATAAACACTGCCGTTTCCTTGATCTTGATATCTATATTTTTAAGGGGAAGCTTAAAACATACATTTACGATGAAAAAGGTGATATTTCATTTCCTATTGTTAATCATC